GATAACATACAAGTACATGATAAACTGTTGATACTTGATAAGTTGCAGTTGCGCAATAAGGTAAACTAGTACTTGTTATTCGAATCTTTATGCAGTGATACTTGTTCTAATAAGTTGTTTATTTTATTTCTTTTGCGCCCTAAATTCATGAAAGAAATGTCGAATAACTTGTTATATAACTGTAAATAATATAAAAATTATTAAAAATTAATTTTAAACAAATTTCTTTACACATTATTCTTTCACAATGTAGTCATTTTGACGGCTTTTGGGCAATATAGGTATATACTAAATTTCAGTCTTTCTAGTATTAAATTTTAGTAGAAACAAAAACAAAAAAAATTAGTAGAAAACTTAAAATTGAGAAAATGTATCTATTATCTTAACCTTCCCAGCAAGTTGAGAAAAGACCTCTTTTACTGCAATGGAAGGCCTTCAGGGGAGCACAGTTTGAGGACTGTAGAATTTCTAGAAGCTTTCTTAGGTCTAAAAGTCCATAAGTCTAGCTTCCAGCCCCAAGGTTAAGGAAGGGCAGAAAAAGCACCAGGCATACCTAACAAGGGGTTAAAAAGCAAAGCCCCGCCCACCAGCAGGTCGGGAGTGGGGCAACTGACCGACAGGTAGAACAGCCCAATTCCCAATTTCCATCCCAAAGATCACAGGTAATGCTCAGGGCAAGTCCCTCTCTCCTCCGAGACTTGGACTGGCTGCCCCTTTCTAGGCTCTTCCGGGGAAAGTAATCTCTTCCTTCCTGGATCCTGAAAGAACTGGAAACAATCAAGTCGCCAAACCCCCACCCTGTTTTGACTTTCTCTAGAGTCTAGAGCAGTGGTTCTCAACCTTCTGGCCCTTTAAATACAGTTCCTCATGTTGTGACCCAACCATAACATTATTTTTGTTGCTGCTTCATAACTGTAATGTTGCTACTGTTATGAATCGTCATGTAAATATCTCATATGCAGGATAGTCTTAGACGACCCCTGTGAAAGGGTCATTTGACCACCAAAGGGGTCGCGACCCACAGGTTGAGAACCGCTGGTCTAGAGCAAACCCTGGACCAATGTACTGAGGATCACGCCTTCCTCTGTAGGCCTGGGGTACAGACAGTGAGAGTGAAGGTGAAATGCCCGAGGTGGTGGCAATTCACAGCCTTTCACGTTTCCCTGCCTTCCTCTGCTCCTCAAACACACGGGAGAGCAGCCGCACCCACGGGGCTTCCCCGGGCTCTCCTTCCCCGCCGCCTGCCCTCCGCTCACTGCTGCCCTCCGAGGGCTGGCTCGCACCCATTGCACGACCCCCACCGAAGCTTCTCTCAGAAAAGTCACCAGAAAAAAAAAAAGAAAAGTCACCAGCTCCCTCCAGTTCGTCAGACCCAATGGGCATGAATCAAGGAATTCAGCTTCCGCAGGGCACGTGGCCACTCTCCCCGGAAAACCTCCCCCCGCCCCCAGACCCACACTCTCCCCTTGGCTTCCTCCCAGGCCCCTGCTCTGTCCCCAGCCGCCACCCTTCTCTAGGGGACCATAAACGCAGGGGTTCCTGCAGCCCAGACCGCCCTCTGCCCAGGCCCCAGCACCTCAGTATTTCAACAGGAACTCTTGATTCCCAAACCTGTTCCTCCCTAGTCTTCCCCATCAGAGGACAAGGTACAACAGTCACAGCACTCAGGCAGGACCCCTGGGGGTTGTCCTGAGTCCTTCCCTTCCACTCCTGCAGCCTCCCATCCATCAGCACACGCTACTGTTCCATCTCCAACATCCATCCCGGATCCATCCGTCTCCCCTGCTGCCCTGAGTGCACTTCAAATCTTTCTCTGCACAGAGACCTTCAGTGGCCTCCAGTGTACTCAGATTCAACCAGCTTTATGACTGCACACCCGGCTCTCTCTCAGCCTCAGCTGGCCCCACTCTCTCCCTTACTCATTTCACTCTGGGCAAACTGGTCTTTCATTTGGCCAAACAAGTCAGGGCCTTGCCTGTGCTGTTTATCTGCCTAGAACAGCGGTTCTCAACCTGTGGGTCGCAACCCCTTTGGGGGTCGGACGACCCTTTCACAGGGGTCACCTAAGACCATCGGAAAACACATATATAATTACATATTGTTTTGTGATTAATCACTATGCTTTAATTATGTTCCATTTGTAACAATGAAATCGGGGGCCACCACACCATGAGGAACTGTATTAAAGGGTCGCGGCGTTAGGGAGGTTGAGAATCACTGGCCTAGAACATTCTCTCCCACCCGGATCCCCACAGAGCCAGCTCTTCCATTTCTTTAGGTCTCAACTTAAATGTCACTTCCTCCAAGAAGCCTCTCCTGATTACCCCACCCAGAGCAGGCCTCAGTCATCCTCTGTTTCAGCCCGTTTACTTGTTTTCTGTCGGTCTCCCCCATCAGAATGTCAACTCCACCAGGACAGGAATTATATATGCAGAGCCTACTATACTGCTTGATACCAGGTAAGCATAAGCATTCAATAAACATTGTTGAAAGAACAAAGGAACTAGTTACTACCTAAGGATTAAGCAGTCCCCTCAAAGTACCAGAGATTAATCTGAAGGGGAAACTGAGGCTCATCCAGGGCCTGACAACAGCCACAGGGGGTGGCGGAAGCTAACTTCCGGTTTTCCAATAATGTGGGACCAGTTGGGGCACAGACCAGAAGGCTCCTCACCTCCCTTTTCCAGCGTGCCAGCCACTCGTCCCGCTTGCGCTTGCTGATGTAGTAGGGGTCCCCCGCCTGGAAGGTGAGCCGCGGCATGGGCCGCTGGCGGAGGCTGGACTCCCAGCCCAAGCCACCCCGGAGCCGGCCCCGGGAGCCCTAGGACAGAGAGACAAGAGAGGACAGACTGGCATTAAGACAGGCACTGACAGCCCCACTGCAGAGGCACTCACCTCGGACAGAACACAGGAGCTCTGACTCCTGGCCTGAGACGTCAACCCTGCCCGTGCCCTGGGTGGGCAGGGGACTGAGGGACTGGGGTGGGGGGACACATGGGCATAAACCAGGAGGGGAGGGGGGCTAGGTGGCTGCCTTGGGGGACTTCCAACCTCCACACCCACTTCCTCTCCTCCTCACAGAGGGATGTGTGTAGAAGGGGCCACGGCCACCTCGGGCTCCCCTCACACACTCGCCACGGCTGGCTTTCTTCTCCTAGAGTCAGGATCCACAGGGTCCCTGGGGGGGGTGAGGAAAACACTTGCCTCCATTTTCATAGATTCGATGTTGGTCTCCTTCTGTTCTTTGCCTGTGAAGAGGGAAGAGCAAAGGGACGGTTGGCAGAGTTACAGGAGTGGCTCAGAGGCCCCACCTTGCGCCTGGGGTGCCTGCCATGGGGATAGGAGTTCTCCAACCGTTTAGTGGTTCCTGTGTCAAACCTGACGGCCCACCCTGTGCCTGGCACCACACTGGACCCGAGGACTCAGGGCATGGCTGGAGCGGAGCAGGGCCTGGGCCAGACAACAGAAGCAGGGCTGCGGCTTCTCGCCCATGGACTGTCCGAGGCACACAGAAGGGGCCATCTAGAAACGCCCACTCGGCTCCTCCCAGCCAACAGAGCTCCCTTCGGGAGGAGTGGGCAGACTGCACAGCCTCCCGTGGCCCTGGAATGGAACAACTGGCTCTGTGCGCGGGGCCCTGGGCAGGGGAGCAGTGGGGTACAGGGCCACTGGAGCAAGACTGTGGTGAAGCATCTTCATTTCTATGAGACTCAGTTTCCTCATCTGGGGAATATAAAGAGGCTGGAGATGATTTCTAAGGTTTCCCTGCAGTTCTCAGTGTTAGGGTTTTGTTATTAATATGTGGCTCCATACTCCCCCCTCCCCCCTTCTCAGGTCCCTGAGCTCAGCCTTTACTCGATGAGATCTCTGTAACCGCTCCTGGCCTGTGTCCTCACTGAATGAAGGTGGACATCCCTTCTAGAAGCGTTAGGTTATTGGGGACATTCAATGTCTAGAGCAGGGCTTGGCATATAGCAGGTGCTCAATAAAAGTTAGTTTTGTTCCCCTTCCCTAAGGCAGCAGTTCCCTGGAATTCCTCACCTGGATCCTGACTCCAGTTCCTGGGGGAGGCTCCCCTGGGGGCAGAGCCCTATCCTGGCCCTGCCCTGCTCCTGGCCCCACGCAGAACATCCCTGCCCTCCCCCCCCTCGTCCTCCCCTCCCAGGTGCCAGGTCCCTGGCCCAGCACCACCGGTAGGGGCCCTGGCTGTGGCGTTGGGTTAATGATGCCTTCCTGAGCTTCCCACAGGAGGGCAGGGGGAGCAGCCCTCCTCTTAGTTGGGCCCAGAACGCCTTTCTCTGGAGCCAAGAGTACTGAGCGTGGGCCCAAAGGCAGGAAGGTCACCCAGGCTGGCTCGTGGTAGCTGGGTGGTGGGGGCGGGGAGAGGGCAGCTGCGGAGGGGGACACACAAAGAGCCCCAAACGGAAAAAACAGCCCCTACTGCAGCTCCTGAAGCGGAAACCAGCCACAGCACTGAAGGTCTCGAATCCTCAGCCCCCAGAGGACGCTGCTTTCCCTCCCTCTCACCAGAGAGGACGGGGGACATCTGTCTGCGTCTGCCCTGGCCGGCGCCGGGCCGGGGCAGTTCTGGGTGACAGCGGACCCAGAGCCCCGGGGGAGGGGGAAGGCAGGGCGTGGACACGGAGGACCACACGTGGGAACGCCCCACTCGCAGAGCTGGCGGCGGAGGGCGGAGGGGCGAGAGGGAGGAAGCGCGTAAGTCCGCCGTCGATGGCGGAGGCGTGCCTGGTGCGCGCATGGACCCGTGGCCGCTCTGTACGCGACGGGCTTTTTGAGGTTTGTCTCACCCGGGCTTTCTCTCTCTTCTAACGTGTCTCCTTCTGGCCCTCTCGTCTCACCACTGCGCGCTCCCCAACATTCCCTCCGGTCTCCCAGAGCGGGGCTCCCCATCCTGCCAGCAGGGCCCTCCTCCCCTGAAGTCCCTCCTCCTCCCCCCGAAGTCCTCCGCCCTCTCCAACCTGCAGTTTGCCCGGAGAGGCTTTGCGCCGCCAGAAGGGGGCGCCCACCCTCGGATCGGATGCACCCTTAGGACCTCAAACGTTTCCTACCCGGGACCCTCCGTGACGTTTGATCTCCGGAAAATCATTTATTCATTCAAATGAAAGGAAGCCAGCCGCTGAAAGAAAAGTATTGCAAGGACGATGGAGTTAATCCTCCGGCCCCTAGGTTTTGCCGGTGGGGAAACAGGCCTGGGAAGGCAGCTCACTTTATACTGCACCATCTTCCCAGATGTTCCCCTCCCATAATCCCCGGCCCCATGGGCCCCATGCTCCCCAGACAGAATTCCTCTTCCTTACGTAGTTTCTAACTGCCTTCTTCCTGGATTTTCTCCCTGCCGGACTCTGCGCATGCCCAATTGAGGGATACCACACACACTTGAGCAAGCAAAACAACACACTGGGCTACCTCAGAATGCTGCACTTGTCTGGGGTCAAGGAGGGTCAGCCGCTCTCTCAACACTCCCTCGGAGTCCATCTGCTCCTGGCCCAGACCCAGGGTCACAGGCTGGGCCAGGTGGCCGCGTGCCTTCCCGGGTGGCCCTGGCAGGCTTGGACGTGACCCTCGGCCTGGGGCATCTCAGGTCCTAGAGGCAGTGGTGGCCAGGGTGCTCCTAAACACTAATCTGTTGGCCTGGGACTGTACTCAGCAGGGGGCCACCCCCAATTCCCTTTCAAATGAACCCAAATCTCCATCACAGAGGGCAGTCACCAGCCGACACTGAGCACGCAGTCAGGAGAGGGGAGCTCTGTGCTGACGAAGCTGGTCCTTTCCTAGCTGCGTCATCCTGGGTCGGTAACTGAACCCTCCGAGCCCTCCATCTCCCCATCTGAAAGTGGGGATAGCCTGCTGGGTGGCTCCGCTGGTTGGAGCATCATCCAGTGCATCAAAAGGTGGTGGGTTCGATTCCGGCCAGGCACACACCCAGAGTGTGGCTTCACGTCCAGTGGGGGTGCATACGATCAATGCTTCTCTCTCACATTGATGTTTGTTGTTGTTTCCTCTCTCCTTCTCCCTTCCTCTCTCAAATAAATAAAACAAACAAACATATCCTTGGGTGAGGATTTAAAAAAAACATGGTGGGATAAAAGAGTCTTCCTCGCAGGATCACAAAGATGAAAGAGTACATCCAGAGCAGGGCTTCTCAAACTGGAATATGCATTGAAGTCACGAGGCTCTCTTTAACACGTGGGTTCTGATTCAATCGGTCTAGGGCAGTGGTCGGCAAACTGCGGCTCGCGAGCCACATGCGGCTCTTTGGCCCCTTGAATGTGGCTCTTCCACAAAATACCACGTGCGGGCGCGCATGTACAGTGCGATTGAAACTTCGTGGCCCATGTGCAGAAGTCGGTATTTTGTGGAAGAGCCACACTCAAGGGACCAAAGAGCCACGTGTGGCTCGAGAGCCGCAGTTTGCCGACCACTGGTCTAGGGTGGGGCCTGCGAGTCTGCATCCCTCTCTTCTCAGGTGATGCCAGGTGATGGGTGGACCACTTGGAGGGGTGAGGAGATGGCACACTCAACACATGAGTCAAAGAAAGCTACTCTGGCACCGCTATTTTATTACTGTTAGCATCACGGCATTAGCACTGGGAGTGCAGGCGCCTTCTTAAGGCCACCACCTGTGTGTCCAGGTGGCTCATGTCCTGATTATGCATCATCTCCCCTGTTCCTCCTTCTTTCTCCTGGCTGTTCTCTCAGGATCTGGGGCTCCCACGGTGCATACTGGAGGGTGCCCAGGCCATAGGATGCTACCTGAGAGCCCCCCATTTCTCCTGTATGGGACCTAATGAGAGGGGTTCCAGGAGAGGCAGATGGGGTCCCTGAAGAGAGTCCTGGCATGAGGGGACCTGAAAGAAGGCCACAGCCCAGTCCCTTCCTTGCTGGGACCTTAGTCTCCTTTCTCCTCAGAACCCAGCAACTGAGTACATATTCTATGTGGCCAAGCCCCCAGGAGGCCACTGCCCACCCCTCTAGGTAGCACCTCACCAGACACCCTATCAGGCAATGCACAGTGGCCTTCAAGGATCCCACCAGCTCTGACCCTGCCGGCACCTCCCCTGCCTGGGCTGCTGCAGTCACACAGAAGTGCTCTGAGGCCGATTCTGGAGATCAAGGGAATGAGCGTTTTGCCCACCATGCTCGGCACGAAGATTCTGAAAAGATCTCACTGCAGAAGTCGCCCTTGAGCATCTCCCCCCTTTTCCCTCACGTTCCTGGCACTTGTCCACCTCCATCCAATTCTGCTACCACCGCGCTTATGAGAGCCACCCCCTCCCCTCTCTGTCTGCAGCATTTGCAGCAGCTCCTAGGCACTCATCCTGCCTCTGGCCCCTTTGTTCATTCCATTCCAGGATCCAGATGGCACACTGGTCTTTCCAAAATGTACAGCCCATCATATCAGCCCCCGGAAGGGTGGCCCTGCCTGCTCCCTCCTCATCTCACACCCTTTCCCTCGCTCTTTCCACGCTGGCCCGTGGGTTTCTGTCAGGCCCCCAAGTGCCCTGCTCGCTCCCACCTGCGAGCCCTAGTCCTGTTCTCACTCCCTCCCTGCACACCCCTCACCTGGTGAACCCCTCAGCTTTAGGTGGAACAGCCCAGGCCGGCTGGCTTCCTCTGTTATAGTTCCCCATAGAACCCTGTTCATTTCCTCTTGGAGAACTTATCTGTGTTTAATCACACCCTTTCAGTGCGGATTTCTCATGAATGTCTGTCTCTTCAGAGGACTGTGAGGTCCTTAAGGGCAAGAAGCAGGTTTTTGTTCATGAGGATTTTCCCAGATCCTGGCACGGACCAGCGGGTGTTTAATAAATACCTGTTGACTGACTGAGGAAGGAGCTCCTGAAATCAAATAGAAAGGGAGGTAGGGAAATCCCAAACCAAAGCAAACTCTCAAGGTGAAAAGCAGCCAGAAAGGACTGCGTGGGCCCTAGGCAGCAGCTGGGTGCCAGTGATGGAGGGGTCCCAGGAACCTGGGAGTCAGCCAAGATCTGCCCCCCGGGGACCAGCACACGTGGTGGGAAAGGGGGACAGGTTCTGGCCTGCACACCTGGCCTTTTTAACAGGAGGATGGGGGCTACTTCCTTTCCTCCTCTGTTTTATTCCACTTGGGCCCCTTAAACACGCCCACCAAGTGTCAGGACACAGCCCAGGAGGCACTCGGGTGAGGCGAGAAGCCCTGGATAGGTCAGGGCCCGGGCCTCCCAGCCACACTGCAGAACAGAGGGGAGAGTGGATGGGCACACGGACTCTGAAGCCAGAGACCAGGACAGACTAAAGCCTGGACCTCCCACTTACAGGTTTGGTGTTTCTGATCAAGTCGCTTCATCTTGGTAAGCCTCAATCTTTCCCACCTTAAATTGGGGATAATAATTCCTCTTGAAGAAGATGGTTTGGGGGAGTAAAACACTGAACACGGAGCACCTCAGAAAACGCTTTGCGCAGAGTGGGAGCATCACAGACATCCGCTGAGTAACAAACGCACGGAGGACTCTTTAGTAAGTAAAGCTGAGGTCTCTTCTGGAGATGCTCTCAGCCCGGCACGAACGCGAGGTTTGGATCCGTGCGGAATGAGTTATGCCAATTAATCAATTTACTCATTCCATCATACACACTTGGAAGGAAGACTTTTTAAAATTAAAATGCACATATGCACAGCAACCTGGCAGGGCTCTGGGAGGATCAAATGTGATAATGTATGAGAAAGCGCCTTGTAAACTGTGAAGCCCTGTACAAACGCTAGTTGTGCTCATTACTGACATGTTTACAGCTCGGTTGGCCCTGAGATCGCTGGCTTCACCTGAAAGAGAAAAGTGGGCAACTTTCCAGCGCCCCAGGGCTAGACCACGAAGTCCCCGGAGGAAGAAGAGGCCTGGACTGGGCAGTGCCCCAGCCACCTGCCCCTCCCCCACCTGTCACAACCACAGTTTAGTCCAGTCATCTAAACTCTGGTGGGCTCAGGACATCTGTGCTGGGAAGGCTCGCTGGGCTTTTAATGCCCATAGGCATCTGCTGCCCTTGGGCACCCATGCCAGGGGGCTACAAACACAGTGATCCCCCAAACTGAGGTCTCATGGGCGAGCAAGCAGGCCAGGTGGGGCTGAGGGAAACGGGTGCACAAACAGCCTGATTGGGAGGTAGGGGGGTGTCTAGGGAGGAAGGGGGACAGCCATCACCCCAGTCCAGCAAATGTTGGCATTCTGCAACCCACTGTTGCCAGGTCTAGCTTTTTTATTTTCTCACAAGAAGCCAAAACTCCAGATTTTTATGTGAAATATCTTGATTTTTAAATACTGGCAACTAATTTTTAAAAAATGTTTAAAATACTACATGGGCCAAAGAAAACCTGTGTGCAGGCTGGATCCAGCCAGTAGCCTTCAGGGCACACCTGGGCAAGGAGACCTTCAGCTACCATGTCCAGCCCCCGCCTTCAGGGACCTGTTGGGCCCCAAATCTCCAACTTTCAGGTGAGCCCCCAAAAGGCGGCCCCTTGAGCCAGGGACTCACCCTCTCCTGTGGGGGCTCCTCGGCCGTCCTTGGGGGTGCAGCAGCCATTCTCCACGGCTCGGGAGGCTTCGGGCGGGGTCTCGGCTGCACCCTCTCCCTCGGCTGGGGCCCCGCCCTTCTGTCCTCCAGCAGGGCTCCCCTCCTCCGGCTGGGGCTCACTCCGCTTCTCCAAGTCCCCATTGGGTAACAGCTCTGAGGGGCCTGAGTCCTGGGCCATGGCTGGGGACTTGGAGGTCACCGCAGGGTCCTTCGGCGTGTCACTGCTCTCCACCTGGTCACGAGAAGCACAGAGAGGGTCAGACCAGTGGAATTCTGGTGGAGACTCTGAAGTTCTGGCGGGAACTCTGTCTGTCCAGATAATTTTGTTCGCATAAACGTTCATGCAGTTTTTTTAAAAATTTTTTATTACAAAGGGTATTACATATGTGTCTATTCCCCCCCCCGCCCCGCCCTAGACAGTCCCCTAGCCTCCCCTATCCCCCAGTGTCTTATGTCCATTGGTTATGCTTATATGGCTAAGATCTGGAAACAGCCTAAGTGCCCATCAGTAGATGAATGGATTAGAAAACTGTGGTACATCTACACGATGGAATACTACGCTGCTCTAAAAAGGAAGGAACTCTTACCATTTGCAACGGCATGGATGGAACTGGAGAGCATTATGCTAAGTGAAATAAGCCAGTCAATAAAGGAAAAATACCACATGATCTCACTTATTCAAGGATAATTGAGACCATTATAAATGTTCATGCAGTTTTGCATGACGCTCATACATTCACAATTTTGCTCTGTTTCAAGGGGTTTACGGGCTTGACCTCCTGAAGTCAAGGGATCTATGGACTCCGGCTTAAGAAACGGGAGAAGAATCCAGCCAGGTTTGCCAGCTGGTTCCACAGCCCAAGCTGCACCCCACACGTACACTCACTGGGGTGACATAGCCTTCCCTCCCCCGAGCCTTCTGCAGCCTCAGGACATCCCTACTTGGAAACAGGACCCCTCCTCCGAAGACCAGCCTGGGCTGACCCAACTGCTGTGCCAGAGCCTCCCAGCTCTCCCCGGGGTCTCTAAACCCAGAGACTAGCTGCCAGGAGGGTCAAAGCTCCGCCCTCCCCCCAAGAAGCATTCCTCTGAGCTCCAAAGCCCAGCACATTCTTTCCCTCAGGTCTGGCCCCCACGGGTTCTCCCGGGTGCTCAGACCCCAGGACAGCTGAGGCCCCGCCAAGCAATTCTCAGTCTGTACAGCACACCCTCCCCAGCGCGTGGCCCCAGCTTCCCCCTCCAAGAGGAAATGCAATGCTTTGTCCCCAAGCACCTAAGAACAACCTACAGGTAAACTATCAATAACAGTTTGGCGAGTATCTTTCTTAGACTTTTCTTCCTATGTATCTACCATCACGTGTAAGTTACATGTTTATACATATGTACTCACACAGTGGCCCAGGATTGTTCTTTCTAAAGCAGCGGTTCTCAACCTATGGGTCGCGACCCCTCTGGGGGTCGAATGACCCTTTCACAGGGGTCGCCTAAGACCATGGGAAAACACATATATAACTACATATTGTTTTTGTGATGAATCACTATGCTTTAATTATGTTCCATTTGTCACAATGAAATTGGGGGTCACTACAACATGAGGAGCTGTATGGAAGGGTCGCAGCATTAGGAAGGTTGAGAACCACTGATCTAAGATCTCAACTCTGAGCCTGCTATTATGTGGTGACAAACCCCCACGGGTGGCAAATAGAGACTAGGGCCTTGGGAAAAACAATAAAAATAAAAAACAGGACTAAACCAGGGTCCTCCTTGGACGAGCCTGCAGACACATGGAGCAGCACGCGCGCGAGCGGAGGGAACTCCAGGCCCCTGGCCAAGCTGTTCTCCTGGCTGTGTGGCAGCCCGCGGGCGGGCCTGCTTCCAGGAAGAGCACCTCCCAGGGAAAGCTGCAAATGTGCGCAGTCCTCAGAGCGGGGGCGGGAGCTGCAGCAAGAGGAAGAGCAGGCCTCCAGCGGAAGCGGAAGCGAGAATTCCACCGCTAGGTTTGGGCACTGAGGCCAAAGCCGGCAGAGCCAGGAGGTCAGACGCGGGAATGCAAGTGGAGCAAGAGGCCATCTCTCTCCTCAGCTGCGTCCCACACACGCTCTCCAGGACTCGGATGGATTTTCCCCACCTCCCTGCGCAAACCAACAGGCCTCCCCAGCCCAGAAGGCCCCTCCCTGGTGGGAGTCCTCTCACCCTCAAGGCTTTCTCTTGTGTGAAGAAGTCAGCGGCCCAGGCAGCCTGGAGAGTGGGGCACGCCTGGGCCCCCACAGCCACCCCAGGTCTGGCTGTGCCAGGCACCAGAGAGCTGCAAGCGGGGACCCCCCGGGGGGGGGGGATTCCCGCGGGCCACTGTGTGGGGTCACAGCCAATTTCTCACCATGGCCGTGTTCTCCTTTCCTCAAGCCACTTGCTGCCCCACAGACACCTCGAGTTGGGGTAGGCCCCTGGCCCCAAAAGCTGCTCAAGACAACTCTGCTGTCATTCACTTCCTGCCTGGGAACCGCATGGCTTCTTCCCACCTGGGACTCTTCCTGTTGACTGCCGGCTCTTTAGCACAGACTGTCAGGAGCACCTGTTCCGAGACCTCACCCAGCCAGGCTCACCCCCCCCTTCCCGTAAGCTCCCCTCCCAGGCAGCACCACAGGACCCTGTCTGAAGCAGTGCAGACGCCCCATCCCCTCAGAGGCAGGCGGATGAGAAGGAAGAGGGATCCTCTGCACAGCTCCAGCCCCAGGGTTAGCAGCTCCCCTCCCCTCTTCCCCACCGGGCCATTCTTCATGCCCATCCTCTCTGGTCCTGGGTGAGCCTGCATCCCCAAAGCTCTGGGATTAGGGGGAGCTACTGACTCCTGCTGTGGACCCCTTGAGCCCCCTTACGCACTGAGAACCCACCCTGAGCCCCTCACTGCCCTCTCTTTGGGGCCCGGGGTCACTGGGCAGATCACCAAAAGGGGGAAGGAGGCCACAGGCAAAGGGGCTGAAGCCATCCTTCAGATCTCTGGGGAGGAGCTGGGTGCTCCCCAAAAGGGGCATCTCAGGCGAGAAGAATAATCCACACCTGGAAGCCACTGAGAGCGGCGATCCCAGCCAGGCCGCACGCTCCTGCCCCCACCTCCACGCCTTCCTCTCAGCTGCCTCCTCTGCTCTCCTCGCCTCTCCCCTGTCGTTGCCATCAGCTTGTGCCTCTTGGAGGCAGGACCTTTGCCTGGTTAGACTCAGCATGGAGTGGGGCACCGGGCAGGATTCACAAGTGCGTCCTTGCGGCTGAAGGCCGGGTGCAGAGCGAGAGCAGCTCGCTCATACACTTACGGGGTCTCCACTTCGCTGCATGTCGGATCTGACTGTTAAAAACTCTGTTTTTGTTTGCTTTTATTTCTGTAGTTGCCTTGAGAGGAGACACAGCACACCCTGAGACATTCGTTTTTCCCACGGGGAGAGGAGGAAGGAGCAGCAGAGGCCGCTGGCCCTTTTAGAAGGCACCAACCACCTGCAGCTGTAGGTGACAATGTCCTCTTCCTTTGCTTCTCACCAATGGGGCTGGGGAGGGGGAGGGGCATGACAGCAATGAGCACACTCACTTCTCTCTTGGGTGGGTGGGGGCAACAGGTTTGAGACAAGCTTGATCTTGTCGCCCACGTGCACCTGCCCATGCCCATGCCCATGCCCATGCCCATTACGCCTCACTCTGGATCTTCAAACCCTGCCGCCACCTCCTGGGGGCCCTCAGAATTTGGGACAACTGCCTCCTGCTTCTCTGTTGCCTACCACCCACCCTTTGAGCTCCTCCTTGAGCAGCTTATTCCAACTTGCTGAAGGCAGTGGTTCTTAATGGGGGGTGGGGTGGGGGCGATTTTGCCCCAGTGGGCATTTGGCAATGTGTCAGACACTTGTGGTGGTCACACTGGGGTGGGGCAGACGGCTGGCTTCCTGTGCGCAGGGGCCAGGCGTGCTGCTAAACACTCTGTGAGATCCAGGATGGCGCCCACAACAAAGAATTATTCATTCAGCCCAAAATGTCAATGTCAAAACGCGCTGTTGCTGAAAAGCCCTGGGCTGAAGGCAGGGGCACTGACCAGAGGCTGCCTTTTTCCTAAGGACCATTTAAAAAACAACTTGGGCCCAGTCGGAGCGGCTCAGTGGGTTGAGCTTCGTGCACCGAAAGGTTGCCGGTTCAATTCCTGGTCTCGGCACATACCTGGGTTGTGGGTTGGATCCTCAGTCGATGAGCGTACAGATAGCAACCCATCAGTGTAACTCTCTCACATCGATGTTGATGTCTCTCTCTCTCTCTCTCTCTCCCTCTCCCTCTCCCTCTCCCTCTCTCAACATGTCCTCGGGTGAGGATTAAAAAAGAAGTAAAGTTAGAAAAATCTTTAAGAAAATACCGTGATAAAGTATACATAACCTAAAATTTGCCATTTTAACCGCTCTCAAGCGTACAATTAATTCAGTGGCACTGAAGTACATTCACACTGTTGAACAACCATCACCACCATTCACTGCTCTTCAGAACTTCTCATCATCCCAAACAGAAACTTTGTACCCATTAAACAACTCCCCACACCCTGCCCCCAGGCCCTGGTAACCCCTGTTCGACTTTCTGTCTTCGAAGGAACATTTTATTTATTTATTTTATTTTTTTTATATTTTATTGATTTTTTTACAGAGAGGAAGGGAGAGAGACAGAGAGTCAGAAATATCGATGGGAGAGAAACATCGATCAGCCGCCTCCTGCACATCTCCTACTGGGGATGTGCCCGCAACCCAGGTACATGCCCTTGACCGGAATCGAACCTGGGACCCCTCAGTCCGCAGGCTGACGCTCTATCCACTGAGCCAAACCGGTTTCGGCCGAAGGAACATTTTAAAGTCATCTGCCTGTCTGTCTCTCTCACACACACAAACCTGGGAGGGCTCAGTGCGAGGCCCTGGTCTTTGGACACCTCAGCCTCACCACCACCCCCAGCTCGCAAAGCCCCAGGGGGTTGGCAGGCTGCTGCCCCCCCACTCCCACCCCCTGCCTGGCCCCAAGGAGTGGGGTTAAAGTCCACCCGGCGTTTCCCTGTCTCCCAGCCCCTGCGTGCCTCAGGTGTTTACAGAGCACATCCTATCTCATTATAGCACTCCCCACACTGTTCCTAATTATTTGTTTATGTGCGTCTCTCTCCTCAACAGCTAGCTTTGCCTCATCTATCGTCTCATTTCTCTCCCTTCCAGCCATCTACCTACAGCC